TGGAGTATTATTTTTTATGAACATGAAAAATTTGAGGGTTGAGTGAATTCTTCAAAGCTGAAAATAGAATCATGGTATGAATCATAAAATTTTAAGTTGGACTATTAATGCAGTTAAAAATTATAAATACATTAACATATATATATTGTTATTCATTTGAATAAGATAAAAATTGAGTTTCCTTATAATATTTCTTTTTAAAAAAATTAAGCATAATGAAGTATTGAGTTATTGACCAGAAAAATAAATTTATACACTTGATGGAACTAGCTTGAGGCCTAATAATTTCTGTCCCGAAAGTCAAGATTCGCCCATTTTTAAGTTAACGGTTTCAAATCCAAGCAACAGATTTCTCCTTCCCTCGTAAAAAGATCAACTCTGTAAACATTTTGTTGATTCGGTTTCATCTTTTTATAAATGATAACACATGCTTACTAGCAATTATATTCTTTTGTTGAGGTGATGGATGTGGGAGTCAGGGGATGTTTGGCTGTTAAGATTAGCACCGTCTATGAAAGGTATGCAATTTGGGGAGAGACCCACCTCAGTTGGGTTGCCTCTGAACGGTCGCACAAAATCAGACAGTCCAAAACGTGGGTATAAACAAATGTTTTTGGTCAAAGAGAACAGCGGGCTCAGCAAAGAAAGCAATTAGAACCGTTTACAGAGGTGACAGGAGAGCGAGTCCCTATATTAAAATATCCAAATGTCTTAAAACTGGATGAAGCAGGTTATAGTCAAGGCAGCTTCTTCGACTTCAAAGTGGTTAACATACAACCCTTTGGCTTATAAACAACCTAATCCAGACCATAAACCCTGTTGCAGTGAATATCCCAACAAAGCAGACACTTTGGACAGAATGAAAAGAAATGAATTATGAAAAGTATGGAAAAGAGTTAAGCTGCATAGAATAGGATGGCAAACTAAATGCATAATCCACAAAACAATGTTTTATCATTTAAGATAAACAGGAAAACTAAATGCAGGAGGGTAAAATAGTATTACTAAACTATTACCTAACACTGATTAGGCACTACAGCTTAAGATCAGAAGATAGCTCTCATACAATTGTGGAAACAGTTTCCACTTGAAGGCAAACACCAGGACTCTGATTTCGCCACCAAACAAGATGAACATGTGATGTAACCGCTATTCTTCCAGAGCCTTCTATCATCACAATCACTCATCCGCTGGGGGTGTCTGACTGCATTTTGTAACAAAAGAAAAATGCACATAAGAACAAAAATCAAACTTCTAATCATACAATTTCTGGAAGAAAACATTAAAAAAAAAACGGACCTGTTATATCCCCCATTTACAGGACTTTCAGCTCCACCACCATAAGGGCTATCCTCCCTTTGTTCAGGCACAGAACTTGGACTTGGGTCATTACCATTTTCAGGACTGTTTCTTTCTCTTTCATAGGGACTATCACTAGGCCCCCGACCATTTTCATGGATAGCCCTTTCTTTTCCGTATGGACTACGACTAGGGCTACGTTCATTCTCAGTGCTACGCTTCTCTCTCCTATAAGGACTATGGCCAGGACCATGGCCATTATCAGGGCTAGCCCTCTCTCTTTGTGCAGGGCTTCTGCTCGAACCATGAGCACGGTCAGCAGCAGACCTTTCTTTCTGGTAAGGACTATGGCTAGTACCCCGGTCATAGTTGGGGCTACCTCTATCTCTCCTGTAGGGGCTAACACTGTGATCATGACCATAATTAGGGCTACCTCTCTCTCTTCGGTAAGGACTACGAGTAGGACCATGGCCATAATCAGGACTACCCCTCTCTCTTCGATAAGGACTTGGAGATCGTCTCCTATCACGGCCTCTCTCTGGTGATCTATCACGGCTTCTGTCAGGGCTATATCCATTTCTCCGTTCATCATCATCTCGAGCAGCATATTCCACTGAAATAACTCTATCCACCAGCTTGCTGCACATCAAAGAGAACCCAAGATCAGATCTCGAATTAGTTTTCAGGGGGACTTGCAGAACAAATAAAAACTCCAGGCAGAGTTTGAAGACATGGGAGAAATAGGGATAGATCCACCTCATGTTCGTAGCATCCAATGCCTTGGTGGCATCCTCTTGTGAATCATATTGAACAAATGCAAAATTTCTCCTTATCCTCACACTCACTATTTTACCATATGGCTCAAAATGCCTCTCTAAGTCCCTAGGACGAGTATGATATGGATCAAAATTGATAACAAACAAAGTCTTTGAAGGTCTGTTGTTGACTGAAGACCTTCTCGAAGAACCACCACTAGGCCTTCTAACACCACGTTCATGCTGAAACACAAAATAGAAAAGCTTATATTATATAAGACTGGAGATCTAAAAAAGAGATATAATAACTAATACATACAAAATTACACATAGAAGCATTACCTTTGTCCATTCAACACGAAGTCTACGACCCTTTCGACCAAATTCTGTCCGATCAAGTGCTCGGATGGCATCTTCAGCATCCCTCTCGTCTTCCATGTAAACAAAAGCAAATCCTAGAAAACAAAACAACATTGCATGGCTTACTATGACTTTCATAAAAAAATCCATAAGAAAAGGGAAAGGCAAGAATCCTCCCGCAAAAGGAATCTCTAATAAGAAACCATATTGTTACATATTCAGCGAGATACAGTCACCAGAAAATCCTACCCTAGGAAAAAAATTGCCAACCTCCGTAAAATCTATAAACTAAGTGACCAGTAAAAGTAGTAACAGACCTTGTGTGAAGAAATAAGTGGATGTCAAGGAAAGAACCCAAAAGTGCATGTCTCATGGTAGGTCAATGGATATGGATTGCCTTCTCCATTTATTCAGCTGCCTCTGCTGTGAGGTCGGCAATGTTTCTACCTTGAAACATGTCTGAAATTGAAGGCTGGGCAAAAGTCATGAGGAATGAAAGGCAATAGTGTCTGAGGAAAATGAGGAATGGTGGTGCCATTGCGGAACAGAGTGACTCTTCTTGCAAGCAAGAAGAATAAGCTCGTCACAGGCAGGAAACAGAATTCTGAGGAGTCCCTCCACGACATCCCATGAAAATCCTGCGAAAGAAAATGTTGAGTATGGGGGTTTATGTTTCAAAAACATTTTTCCGCCTTAAATATGGACCCCCACTTAAACTCAACAAAGGATTACTGAAGTTGCTGAGTCAGATATTCTGAGGTCATGCTGCTGATCAGCCATTGTGATGAAACGGAAACCCTTTCGGATGGTTTATGGATGCACTTTCATGTGCCGCTGCAGCAGGACTCTTTGTGCACGCATTGATTCACATTATAGTTTTTTAAGAACATGTTTATGCATCTTAAGGTAATTAAATTAAGCCCTTCTTATCCACGAACATATCCTCAGAAAATACAATTACCATATCATGACAATAAATGAAAAGCCTTACCTACAACGCTATGCTGGATACCTGTTCTGTTAATCTCCATTGTCGAACACTTTTTTTTTCCTCATTATCAGCAGAAGGGATCCAATGATTCAAATGCCACAAAATAGGACAAGTACTGCTTATGTTAACCCTTTTTACTTAACATACAACCACTATTTTAGACTAATCATTTTGAAAGTTATTAGGCAGAAAAATTTACAAACTCAAAACCCAGGGAAGACACCTTGTCATAAAACCGAAAACAGATTCACCTACATTCACCTATTGAGCTAAAAATCATATGGAATAGCATATATCATAACCCCACCAATATACAGAAGATTTTGGCTTCAAGTTTACTACTTCAGAGTATCTAACTGGATAAAAAGAGCCACCATTTGCAAATAGAACCTGGTATTCATGACATGAGAACTTACCAGACTTCATATCAACTCTTTCAACTCTTCCATATCGTCTGAATAGTCGTTCCAGATCAGACTGACGAGCATCATACTCAAAGTTTCCACAGAAGATAGGCCTCATGGTACCTGGCAACAAGATGTGACACATCTTTCAATATACATTTATAGTACAAGTACGATAAGAAATTAAAAACAGAAAAAAAAAAAAGAAAAGAAAAAAAAACGAAATA